TGTTCATGAAGACCTTGTGGCCGTCTGTTCATGGAGGTCTTGCGGCGACTGTTCATAAAAGCCTTGCGGCCCTCTGTTCATGAAGGCCTTGCGGATGTCTGTTCATGAAGGCCTTGCGGCCGTCTGTTCATGGAGGCCTTGCGGCCGTCTGTTCATGGAGGTCTTGCGGCGTCTGTTCATAAAAGCCTTGCAGCCCTCTGTTCATGGAGGCCTTGCGGCCGTCTGTTCATGAAGGCCTTGCGGACGTCTGTTCATGAAATGTAGGCCTTGCGGACGTCTGTTCATGGAGGCCTTGCGGCATCTGTTCATGAAGGCCTTGCGGCATCTGTTCATGGTTGTTCCATTGTTCTATTGTGTCTTGCTTGCCAGCAAACTATTATTGGATGTATGTGTTCCTGTATTGTCTACTGCCACGTGGTGTATCCCATTGTTCTATTGTGTGTCTTGGTTTGGTGGGGGGTGTTTCCGTCAGCCCTTCCCCCTGATGGGACGGCCTGCTGATGTGTTTCCTGTTCCTGGTTGTATTTCCCCGCCCTGTGTATATATCTTGTGTTTGTGTTAAAATAAAGCAGTTCACTTCCTTCCTGTCTTAAGAAGCCTGGTGCTGTCTCGTCCTGTATGGTCAGCGGTGGTGTCCGTGGATCGGTGTTCGGACAGGGAAGCGGGAGTCTAACGGAAATACCCCAGTGCAGTCAGGGTCCGGTTTCGTTACACCGCTTTATAAATACACTTATGAATCTGGAGGCTGCCCTTCAACATTTACCAAAAATTGGCATATTTGGACCGAATCAAGGAGTTCTGTTGCCTCCACTTCCGACCAAGGATAGCTCTGGTACATCTAGTCCACTTATGGCGATAGTTGAGTTTGATTTGCACCCTACTCTCCGCAACTCCTTTACTCCAATATTGGTTAGGTCTAATGACTACGTTATAAAGTCCTAATAGGTGCCGTCACCTTTTACAGTTTATGGTTTGGTTTTTGTGTTCTTCTTTGTGGTGACTTTGTGATGCGGAGCTCCAGTCCCTCTAATACATGTTTGGTAAAAGCAGATCCACAATGACCTTTCAAATGGCATTAACAATCGGAATAATTCAATAGTAAAAGCATTGTAATTACTTAGTAAATATTAAAAGTTTACCATGATCTCGGAAGCAGGCAGGCGCCATGATGGCTGTGGGCATCTGAAGCTCGCAGGTATATATTTCCGGGAATCGGTGCTGCTGGCTATCCCAGCATGCACCACTCGTTCACATGCCAGCGCAGTACAGACACTCTGCATTTCCAGAATAGAGCACAGCGTAGGGCGCAGCAGGATACAGCATCCACGTCTTCCTGTAATCTGGACTCCAGTAAAATGGTACAAAACGCCTCCCATTTGCGTCATTTCCGGTTTCCAAGTCCCACGATTACAGGAAACCAAAGGACTTCTAGGATACAGGAAACGACATCCCGGGAGACCTTGCAAACCGCCTTACGACGTCATCGCTTAGGCGCTCGCAGTGGAAGTACCTGTCAAATTCGGGAACCCGCCGCCAAAAGGTGCCAATCCTTAACGGGGAGCAGGGGGCAAAGCATTAAAGCAGAACTTCCCCTTTTGGGTGGAGCTCCGCTTTAAAGAATCGATCCGAAACAAAACAAATGTTTTTCGTTCTGCACATGTCTAAATACAATGTAACAATGACCTGAGTCACAACGCTTTGAACGGTTTCATTGACGCAGATGGGGTGCGACTTGTCATGTAATTCTGAATTGTCAAATCGCATGGCAAATTGCATTGGTGTGGACCAAGGGCGCCCCCACCTATTGTCAACTGTGTGTTCGGCATGGAGTTCTTGAATGGGCTGTGCTTCTAGTGTCAGAGCACCTAGCCATCTTCCAGACCCCGATGTCAGAGCACCTAGCCATCTTCCAGACCCCGGTGTCAGAGCACCAAGCCAGCTTCCAGACCCCGGTGTCAGAGCACCTAGCCATCTTCCAGATCCCGGTGTCAGAGCACCTAGCCAGCTTCCAGATCCCGATGTCAGGGCACCCAGCCAGCTTCCAGACCCCAGTGTCAGGGCACCCAGCCAGCTTCCAGACCCCAGTGTCAGGGCACCCAGCCAGCTTCCAGACCCCAGTGTTCAGCTTCCAGACCCCAGTGTCCGGGCACCTAGCCAGCTTCCAGACCCCAATGTCAGAGCACCTAGTCAGCTTCCAGACACCGGTGTCAGAGCACATAGCCAGCTTCCAGACCCCGGTGTCAGGGCACCCAGCCAGCTTCCAGACCCCAGTGTCAGGGCACCCAGCCAGCTTCCAGACCGCAGTGTCCAGCTTCCAGACCCCAGTGTCAGGGCAACTAGCCAGCTTCCAGACCCCAGTGTCAGGGCACCCAGCCAGCTTCCAGACCCCAGTGTCCAGCTTCCAGACCCCTGTGTCAGGGCACCTAGCCAGCTTCCAGACCCTGATGTTAGAGCACCTAGCCAGCTTCCAGACCCCAGTGTCAAGGTACCTAGCCAGCTTCCAGACCCCAGTGTCAGGGCATCCAGCCAGCTTCCAGACCCCAGTGTCAGGGCACCTAGCCAGCTTCCAGACCCCAATGTCCGGGCACCTAGGCAGCTTCCAGACCCCAGTGTCAGGGCACCCAGCCAGCTTCCAGACCGCAGTGTCCAGCTTCCAGACCCCAGTGTCAGGGCAACTAGCCAGCTTCCAGACCCCAGTGTCAGGGCACCCAGCCAGCTTCCAGACCCCAGTGTCCAGCTTCCAGACCCCTATGTCAGGGCACCTAGCTAGCTTCCAGACCCTGATGTTAGAGCACCTAGCCAGCTTCCAGACCCCGGTGTCAAGGTACCTAGCCAGCTTCCAGACCCCAGTGTCAGGGCATCCAGCCAGCTTCCAGACCCCAGTGTCAGGGCAACTAGCCAGCTTCCAGACCCCAGTGTCAGGGCACCCAGCCAGCTTCCAGACCCCAGTGTCCAGCTTCCAGACCCCTGTGTCAGGGCACCTAGCCAGCTTCCAGACCCTGATGTCAAAGCACCTAGCCAGCTTCCAGACCCCAGTGTCAAGGTACCTAGCCAGCTTCCAGACCCCGGTGTCAGGGCATCCAGCCAGCTTCCAGACCCCGGTGTCAGGGCACCCAGCCAGCTTCCAGACCCCAGTGTCAGGGCACCTAGCCAGCTTCCTGACCCTGGTATCAAGGCACCTAGCCAACTTCCAGACCCCGGTGTCAGGGCATCCAATCAACTTCCAGACTCCGGTGGCAGGGCACCTAGCCAACTTCCAGACCCTGGTATCAAGTCACCTAGCCAGCTTCCAAACCCCCAGGGCAGGGCACCTAACCAGTTTCCAGACCCCGGTGTCAGGACACCTAGCCAGCTTCCAGAACCCGGTATTAAGGCACCTAGCCAGCTTCCAGACCCCGGGGTCAGGGCATCCAGCCAGCTTCCAGACCCCGGTGGCAGGGTACCTAGCCAGCTTCCAGACTCTGGTATCAAGTCACTTAGCAAGCTTCCAGACGCACAGGGCAGGGCACCTAGCCAGTTTCCACACCCTGGTGTCGGGGCACCCATCCAAATTCCAGACCCCGGTGGCGGGGCACCCAGCCAGCTTCCAGACCCTGGTGTCGGGGCACCCAGCTAGCTTCCAGACCCCGGTGTCAGGGCATCCAGCCAGCTTCCAGATGCCAGTGGCGGGGCACCCAGCCAACTTCTAGACCCCGGTGGCGGGGCACCCAGCCAGCTTCCAGACACGGTTATCGGGCACCCAGCCAGCTTCCAGACCCCGGTGTCAGGCACCCAGCCAGCTTCCAGACCCCGGTGTCAGGCACCCAGCCAGCTTCCAGACCCCGGTGGCGGGGCACCCAACCAGCTTCCAGACCCCGGTATCAGGCACCCAGCCAGCTTCCAGACCCCGTATCGGGCACCCAGCCACCTTCCAGACACCGTTATCGGGCACCCAGCCAGCTTCCAGACCCCGGTGTCAGGCACCCAGCCAGCTTCCAGACCCCGGTGGCGGAGCACCCAACCAGCTTCCAGACCCCGGTGGCGGAGCACCCAACCAGCTTCCAGACCCCGGTGGCAGGGCACCCAGCCAGCTTCCAGACCCTGGTGGCAGGGCACCCAGCCAGCTTCCAGACCCTGGTGGCAGGGCATCCAGCCAGCTCCCAGGGGCAGGCCTCCCAGCTTCTAGAACCCAGCGGTGTGTCACCTAGCCAAATGACAGACCCTGCTGGTAGGGTATCCAGCAGGTTGAAGAAAATCAGGAAAGTCTTAAGACCCTGATGACAGGAGACCTTCTCCATTTTATATTTATCTAACTCAAGAGTCACTAGCGCAGACTGCTAGCTTTGAAACTAAGTGGAGCGTCCAGAGGCCGCTCCTAAAGTTGGGGATCTGTCAGGATTTGGTTACCTGCTGCAGGCACTGTTGTTCCCAGAGGCAAAGGATGCAGTTCTGGTGGCCGCCAGTGGGTGTCACTAACAGCCAGCAGATTGCAGTAATTAGGATCCATCTGATTCTCAACCGGGGTTCCCCGAGAGGTCCTCAGGGGTTCCGCTGAAAATCAAGTTTGGAGATTACATTTCTTTTCCTCCAGATAGTTCACATTAGTGTTTGCAGTTCCGGTTGCAGGAAAAAAAGTAGAACAGGCTGCATTTTTCCTCTACAGAACTGTACCGGAACGCAGTAAGTCTCACCAAAACACACCGAAAAAAACACTGGAATGCACATATCCCTATTTAAATTGAAGAAAAAGAGAGGGGGGAAAAATGAACCGGAACACATAAAAAACGCACCAGAATGCGCCAAAAATGCATCAAAAACACGCATGTAGAAATGTATTTGGACTGCATTTCTATGGTGTGAGCTGGGTCTTAATGTTCATCTGGCCCTCAGTGTTCTGCCTGTGAGCTGCTTACCTGCCTGATCCTGTACCATGTTCTGTGTACTGTGGAAGACCGGATATAGTGAATGCGGGGTCCTGGGAGAGCGGATATAGTGAATGCGGGGTCCGGGGAGAGCGGATATAGTGACTGCGGGGTCCGGGGAGAGCGGATATAGTGAATGCGGGGTCCGGGGAGAGCGGATATAGTGAATGCGGGGTCCGGGGAGAGCGGATATAGTGAATGCGGGGTCCGGGGAGAGCGGATATAGTGACTGCGGGGTCCGGGGAGAGCGGATATAGTGAATGCGGGGTCCGGGGAGAGCGGATATAGTGAATGCGGGGTCCGGGGAGAGCGGACATAGTGAATGCGGGGTCCGGGGAGAGAGGATATAGTAAAGGCGGGGTCCGGGGAGAGCGGATATAGTGAATGTGGGGTCCGGGGAGAGAGGATATAGTGAATGCAGGGTCCGGGGAGAGCGGACATAGTGACTGCGGGGTCCGGGGAGAGCGGATATAGTGAATGCGGGGTCCGGGGAGAGCGGATATAGTGAATGTGGGGTCCAGGGAGACCAGATATAGTGACTGCGGGGTCCGGGGAGAGCGGATATAGTGAATGCGGGGTCCGGGGAGAGCGGATATAGTGAATGCAGGGTCCGGGGAGAGCGGATATAGTGAATGCGGGGTCCGGGGAGAGCGGATATAGTGAATGCAGGGTCCGGGGAGAGCGGATATAGTGAATGCGGGGTCCGGGGAGAGCGGATATAGTGAATGCAGGGTCCGGGGATAGCGGATATAGTGAATGCGGGGTCCGGGGAGAGCAGATATAGTGACTGTGGGGTCCGGGGAGAGCGGATATAGTGAATGCGGGGTCCGGGGAGATCGGATATAGTGAATGCGGGGTCCGGGGAGAGCAGATATAGTGACTGTGGGGTCCGGGGAGAGCGGATATAGTGAATGCGGGGTCCGGGGAGAGCGGATATAGTGACTGCAGGGTCCGGGGAGAGCGGATATATTGAATGCGGGGTCTGGGGGGGAAAGCGGATATAGTGAATGCGGGGTCCTGGGAGAGGGGATATAGTGAATGCGGGGTCCGGGGAGAGGGGATATAGTGAATGCAGGGTACGGGGAGAGCGGATATAGTGAATGCAGGGTCCGGGGAGAGCGGATATAGTGAATGCGGGGTACGGGGAGAGCGGATATAGTGAATGCGGGGTCCGGGGAGAGCGGATATAGTAAATGCGGGGTCTGGGGAGAGCGGATATAGTGAATGCGGGGTCCAGGGAGAGCGGATATAGTGAATGCAGGGTCCGGGGATAGCGGATATAGTGAATGCGGGGTCCGGGGAGAGCAGATATAGTGACTGTGGGGTCCGGGGAGAGTGGATATAGTGACTGCAGGGTCCGGGGAGAGCGGATATATTGAATGCAGGGTCCGGGGAAAGCGGATATAGTGAATGCGGGGTCCTGGGAGAGGGGATATAGTGAATGCGGGGTCCGGGGAGAGGGGATATAGTGAATGCAGGGTACGGGAGAGCGGATATAGTGAATGCGGGGTACGGGGAGAGCGGATATAGTGAATGCGGGGTCCGGGGAGAGCGGATATAGTGAATGCGGGGTCCGGGGAGAGCGGATATAGTGAATGCGGGGTCCGGGGAGAGCGGATATAGTGAATGCGGGGTCCGGGGAGAGCGGATATAGTGACTGCAGGGTCCGGGGAGAGTGGATATAGTGAATGTGGGGTCCGGGGAGAGCAGATATAGTGAATGCGGGGTCCGGGGAGAGCAGATATAGTGAATGCGGGGTCCGGGGAGAGCGGATATAGTGAATGCGGGGTCCGGGGAGAGCGGATATAGTGAATGCGGGGTCCGGGGAGAGCGGATATAGTGACTGCGGGGTCCGGGGAGAGCGGATATAGTGAATGCGGGATCCGGGGAGAGCGGATATAGTGAATGCGGGGTCCGGGGAGAGCGGATATAGTGACTGCAGGGTCCGGGGAGAGCGGATATAGTGAATGCGGGGTCCGGGGAGAGTGGATATAGTGAATGCGGGGTCCGGGGAGAGCGGATATAGTGAATGCGGGGTCCGTGGAGAGCGGATATAGTGAATGCGGGGTCCGGGGAGAGTGGATATAGTGAATGCGGGGTCCTGGGAGACCAGATATAATGAATGCAGGGTCCAGGGAGAGCGGATATAGTGAATGCAGGGTCCAGGGAGAGTGGATATAGTGAATGCAGGGTACAGCAGTGTACAATGGAGCAGTGCAACATCAGTCTAATTCTCTCCTCTGCTCACTCCTTGCTCCCCAATCCATTAGCATTGTGCAAGGACAGTTGGGCTTTGTGCACAGAAACAGCTGAGGTAGCTTCCAGCTTCTGCAGATGTGCACCATGATTTGTAATGGTGGCCTGGCTTGTGATTTCCTGTTTTGCACCATTATCCTTCTTCAGTAACTAAAAGAGAAATGGTTTTAGTGTGATCTCCTTCTGTGAGTGACATTGGGTGGGGGGCCCATGGAACACAGCCCACTCTGGAGAAGTGGGGAGACCCCTGTCTCAGCTCCCCATATCCCTCTTATGTGTAAGTCACCCTGTGCCTGTTGGGGGTGCAGGGTGGTCTGTCCTAATATTGTGTAGACATGTATAGGTGGGGTGGGGGGTTGGGGATTGTTTGGTGTTATGGGGCTGCATCCCATTGTTCTGTTGTTTGTCAGGCTTGGGTGCAAACTATTATGGGATGTATGTGTGTCAGTGCTCCGGGAATGACCAGAGGTGTGTTGACCGACACAGAGAAACATAGACTTCAGGTATAGCGTGTAAACAAGATAATTTATTAAGCACAACACAAACATAAACGCAGTGCAACAAACCAAACCCAAAACTAACACAAATACATACAAGGTGAAACAAACCCAAACCTAAACTGATAAATATATATGTATATATTATATATATATATGGAGCACAACGTAGTCAGGCAGGCCGGGTCGGTAGCTAACGGGCAAACAGGGTACCAGGAGCGAGCGGAAGAGTGGTTAGGAATAGCCGAGGTCAGGACAGGCGGAGTTCGTTCAGAGTCAGGATCAGGCAGGAAGCAGACAGGATGCAGGTACAGGGGCTCATGGGAAACATACACCAAGGCACTGATCACAGGCCTGGTCCTGCTCAAATACACCTCCTGCAATCAGCCTCAGGTGATGGCCTGATTGCAGGAGTGAGATTCTGGCTGCTGAGAGCACCCGCTGGCCAGCCTTGGTACTGCAGCCCACAAGGCAGGTGAGTCCCGCCACCGTTGGCGAGTCCATTCCTGACAATGTGTTTATGTGTATTGGCTTGGTGGGGGGTGTCTCCAGCAGCCCTCCCTCCTGATGGGACTGTCTGTTGGTGTGTCTCTTGTTACTAAATGTAGATTGCCCCGTCCTGTGTCAGTATGCAGGGAGGGGGGTTGTTCCCTTGAGTGTATATATCTTGTAACTGTGTTAAAATAAAGTAGTCTACCTCCTGGTTTACTTCAAGACTGGTGTCGTCTAGTCTTGTATGGTCTGCTGTGGTGTCTGTTGTCGGTGTTCGGACGGGGAAGTGGTAGTCTAACGGAAGTACCCAAGAGCAGTCTGAGGTCGGTTTCATTACACTTTCCTTCTTCTACCTCTACCCAGTCAGTGATATCACTAACAGCCACCTTAAACCCAAGTGCAGTTCTTCCAACACCCATACAGGAAGAGTGGGCAAACAATCAGTTTTTCTTCACTATATCAAGAGGATCCTTCTATAAATTATAAAGAGAGGTATTTCTCTGGATGAAATAAAATAAAAACTGTCCTTGTCACCCTTTAACAACCAACCTAATTCAAACCTGCAGTGGAAAAATACATTTGGAAAATAAAAGAACAAATGTGACTGGTTGCGGGTCAGTCCAAATACATCTAATTTCAGAAGCATTCTGCAGATGTTGTCAATTGGGTTTCCACTAAATTGACTTTTTTATGGATTCCAGGCAATGATTCGGAAGGACAAAAGAGGTTTCTGGATTGGTTTGAGGAAATCTGAACAATTGTGGAAGTGGCCGGATGACAGCGTGCAGTGAGTAATCCTCTCAATAATCCCATGTAGACTATATGTTGGAAACACGCATTGGGGTTGATTTGCTAAAACTGGAGAGTGCAAAATCTGGTGCAGCTGTGCATGGTGTCCAATCAGCTTCAATTAAGCTTTGACAAAAAAAATTGAGGCTGATTGGTTTCTACGCTGAGGTGCACCAGATTTTGCACGCTTCAATTGTAGTAAATCAACCACATTGTATGTGGAAGAAGAGCAGTATTGCAGCTTTTGTTTTACGTGGAATTAACTTCTGATTTCATTATCCAATCTTGCTTGTATCCACGATCCGTCCCAGTGACCTCTCCACTGAGCCCAGCCCTCCCAGCACAGTAAGGTGCAATGTTTAGACCTTTCAAGGTTTTGGATCTCTCAGGGCTGTTCTTGCTGAGTTTGGGCCCAGAGATCCTCGGTAAACTCATTGGATTAAAGCAGTGTTTCTCAACTCCAGTCCTCATGGACCCCCAACAGGTCATGTTTTCAGGATTTCCCTCAGATGAAACAACTGTGGTAATTACTAAGGCAGTGAAACTGATCAAATCACCTGTGCAAAATAATGGAAATCCTGAAAGCATGACCTGTTGGGGGTCCATGAGGACTGGAGTTGAGAAACACTGGATTAAAGGAAGAAGAAAGGCACCCTCTGAGTGCAGCAGTCCATCAGTAGACCATTACTGTGTCCTGCAGGAGTCCATCCCATGTGGAGCTGGCTGCTTAAGGTAATGACGGCCAGCTCCACACGGGATGGACCCCTACAGGACACAGTAATGGTTTACTGATGGGCTTGTTTAGCTTCCTTACATTGTGAGTTTTAACATTGCGGTTCATTAAAACTTTTCTTCCATACTGCACTCAGAGGGCGCCTCTCTTCTCCCTTTTGTGTTTTGTATACAGAGCTGGCTTACTCTGAGATGGCTGCTATCTGAAGCGGTTACTAGCCATAGACTTTATTGGCACTTTTGGAAATATAACACTGGACATTAGCCGTTAGTGCGTTGAGATCTCTCTTTTATTTAAACTCGTTGGATTCGTATCCATCAGAAGGTTGACCATCTCTCCTGCCAGTGCTGGGTTTACCAATAAGCTCTGTAGTCCTGTTCCCACAGGCAACATAAAGAAGGTGGCAGAGTTTCCTTTTATACTTGTTTGCCACACATTTCATTCCCATTTTCAGTAGAAAGACTTTTTTTTGGTCTTCAAAGGTTTCGTGCCTTTGGGTCCAATTATGGAAATCATTCACTTCCAATGATGGAAATGAGGACACTTTTCTTTTTTCACAGGAAGGATTTCCCACCCAGTGGAGAATTTTGTGCCAAGGCCTCACCCACCCTGCAGAGCCAGAGCTGTAATTACTCCCTGCCCTGGATTTGTCAGAAGAAGGCCATGCAATGTAGATTAGAGGCTGAGGATCTGCGCTGCTTTTTCGAGAAGATCGGAGTCTTTGGAAAGAAGATAAATGAATAAGATGGCGCTAACAGGCTTCTTCAATCTGGACTTGTAAACTACAATTGCCAACAGCAACCAATCATAACAAGTGACTGGTCAGATCAGGAACAGAAATGATTTCTTATTGGTTGCAGGGCCTGATGCTTTCTTCACTACATTTATTGGTAAAGTGGGTCATGTCTTATGTGACGGTTTACACATAATTGTGTTTAGTTTTGCCTCTTATGCTGAGACATTTCTGCTGCTTTTTCTCCAACTTCTGAGTCTTTGCAGTAAAGCTGCGATGTCAAAGTGAAGTGTAAAAAATGGTCACACAGAGAGATCTCAAGGAATATAGGAATAGTGAGAATTGAATACAAGAGGTAAGTGGTGCACTAGACAATCTCTCAGTATATGGTATGACCTCTAAATCATAGGAGGCCACTGTGATGGGAATCACTTTGGGTGGGGGGCCATGGAACACAGCTCACTTTGGAGAGGTGGGGAAACCCCTGTCTCAGCTCCCCATATCCCTCTTATGTGTAAGTCACCCTGTGCCTGTTAGTCGTACAGGGTGATCTGTCCTAATATTGTGTAGACATGTCTAGGAGATAGGTGGGGTGGGGGTTGTGGATTGTTTAATGCCATGTGGTTACATCCCATTGTTCTATTGTGTGTCTTGCTTGGGAGCAAACTATTATGGAATGTATGTGTTTATGTGTATTTGCTTGGTGGGGGGGTGTCTCCAGCAGCCCTCCCTCCTGATGCGACTGTCTGTTGGTGTGTCTCTTGTTACTAAATGTAGATTGCCCCGCCCTGTGTCATTATGCAGGGGGGGGGGTTGTTCCCCTGAGTGTATATATCTTGTATCTGTGTTAAAATAAACTAGTCTACTTTCTGGACTACTTCAAGATTGGTGTCTGTTGTCGGTGTTCTGACGGGGAAGCTGTAGTCTAACAGAAATACCCAAGTGCACTCTGGGGTCAGTTCCGTTACAGCCACATTGAGATTGTATCATATTTCTGTCAAACTAGCTCTACGCAGAATGTGCTTTCTCTATCCATCTACCCAATCAAAGTAAACCATACAACCATCTCTCCTCCGTGCCACCTTCTTTGCTGTGAGATGATGGCACTTTCAGTGCAAATGTAAGAACATAGAAGAATC